TATTATTATTATTATTATTATTATTATTATTATTATTATTATTTGCTTAATATAAAACAAAAAATAAATGATTTTAGTTATTTTCACATTCACACTATTGAGATTACCTTTTCTTCTCTACGTATTTTCTTGCAGAATTTTTGTGCTATTTTTGACGTATTTATCTAAATATGCCACGTTTTTCTCAGAAAATGCACAGAACTTTATTTAACATCCTTAAAACCCTTTAAAATGTTCATAAATCTGTACTGTCCTTTTCACCTTCTGTTCTGGTTCTGCTTTTTTTACTCCTTTGTACTCATTTCTGCTTCCTTCAGCTAGAATTTTGCAGATTTCATCTGTTCTTTTTCAGCCATCATTCTGAACTTCTGCTATGCTTCTTTCAGTTTTGTCTGTGATTTCAAAATCCTTTTAGCTACTTTCAGCTAATTTGATTTTTATTTCAGCTAAATTCACCTTTTTGTGACAATTTCAGCTTTTTACTGCTTTACTCAGTAAACATGCTATTTGTGCAAATTTCAGCTTTTTTAGCTTTTTTGCTATTGACACAATAGTGTAGAATTACTTATCCTTTTCTGTATTTATTTTAAAAACAAATAATTGGACCTTTGTTGAAGCTATTTTCTCTTAACTGATTTGCTGATTAGTGATTAAATATATCTCTAAGAAATGATAAATAAAAAGTTGTTGATAGAGAGATGAATGTCAAAGCCTTGTTTTTCTAAATTTAATCTTTTTAGTTTATTTGTTACAGTATATATTCTAACTGCTACATAAAATATCATTTGGAAAACGTTATTTGTATCTCTATAAGAGTTGTTTACACAACATTTTTTCAGTAAAAAATGAGAAAGATTGGCTCTTGGCTTGGACCAAATTGTAGATTTTGGTCCCCTTGTGTCTGAGTTTGACACTCTTGTAAATATGTATTTTTATTTTCATTTTTTACTCCTTAATAAAGTGCTTTATATGTAATCCATTAATTAATTTTCTCTACCTGCATTTTTGTCTCAAATATATACTGTATGTATGTATTTATTAGTAATACTTTACTGTATTTTTGAAATTGAATTCCAGTAGTACCTTCTCTGCAGTCATCAGTGTGTCTCTTACCGGCAGATAAAACTTGTTTTTGTCCGAGTCTCTCTCTGTGCTGTCAGACAGGCTGTTGTTGGTTAGATTCAGGAGGGAGGGAGAAGTCGGCAGGATGTCGTCCACAGATCCTCCAGGATCCTCCATGAAAAACTAACAAACAGATAAGACAGGATGTGGGGTTAACACTCCCATGTGAGCTCATATATCCAGGCTGCTGCTGTAAGATAAATGTTTGCAGAGCAAATTTAAATCACTCCATTTTTCCTTTCCAATGTTTCTCATCAAGTTATTCATCTGCTTTCTTCAAAAATTCATTGTCAAATCAGGATCATAGGAGAATAATTATTATAATCTGCAGCTATTGTAACGTTTGACACCTTTGGATGTGAGGAATATGAAGAGAATTGTGGATATTTTTATAGTTTCTCTTTGGTTTCTATATTCAGCTGGTGTCAGCTCTACTCTTAACACTGAATGTTTTCATTATGAGCTGTTCCTGTTCTATTTTTATTTGCCTAACAACACACAGGCTGAGGAAACCAACTGCACCAATAATATTGTGTTTTTTGTTCTCAGTGTATCTGATTCAAAATGTCTTTGACTCAATAATGGTCAGACTTTATTCATTTACCAGTTCCTGTAGAGCAATAAAAATAATAAGAGGTCACAAAAAAGTGCTTAATAAACAATCATTTCTCATATTTTACAGTTAAATATTCTGTGTTGTGTAAAAGAAAATGAACCTTTTTCAATGCTGGGGCTTTATCAAGTTATAATAAAAATATTATTAGGGACCGTATTTATCAGACTTCTTGGAAATACTGTTGAAAATGCTGTTAGAAATAGGCCTAATGCACACATGTCAAACTCAAGGTCCGTGGGCCAAATGTGGTCAGCCACTGCATTTCATTTTTAAGAGCTTTAAAGATGTATTCATATCTTAAAATGTGTATGCTGCTTTAAGCCTGCAATGGCCATAAATTACATCTTCCATAATGCATTTTGATGCTTTTTGATGCAAATGATAGCATCCAACCACTAGGTGGAGGAGCTTTGAGTTGAACAATAGCCATCAGCTAGCAAAATTTGCTGTGTAAAATCTTCATTTAGTTGCATTTTCTTCAGCTAATTATGCTGTGGCCCAGTTTTATTGCAAGTCGATGATTCAAACTTGAATCAATGAGAATTCCCTGTCAGAAAGTGGGAAAATACAGAATTCAAGATGGCAGCTACTCATCAAAACTCAACAGTGAGTAAAACTCTTTTACTTTTAATAATATTTCTTTTCTATTTATTTTGCATTTAGTCAGATGTACATATAGTACTTTTCAGTGTTTAAAAGATGATGTGTTAAAACACTGTTTCTGTGCAGGAAATACCATGCAGAGCTCAGTTATTGTTTGTTAGCAATGCTCAGCTGTAGCAACGAGACGAGGAATGCGACGTTTCGTGTTTCATCTAAGTTCAACACAAAACGTTGAAGTTAATTACAGCTGGCCCTTTGAACGTAATAAATCAAAGAGTAATTCAATTTTGCAATAATAATTTAAGTTAATGAAAATGTTCGAAACTGGCTGAGTTAGAGTCATTCTTGTTTTGGCTAATGTTGATTCTTGAGTGAATCTTAGTCATAAGAACTTTGATAACTTGCATTTACACCGAAGTCAGAAAGTTGGAGTAAATTTCAGAAATTCTCGACACTATAGCCTAAAAATCCACATTGAGAAGTTTGATAAAAAAGGTCCCTGGGTTAGCTGGCAGAGTGAGGCGGTGTGTGTGGAGGGGGCATTATCTGCTGCAGAGCAGGCAGTCGAAGGACGAGAAGGAGGGGGCAAACTTAAAGCGAGACGTAGAATAAATTTTAAAATGGTGTTTTTGAAAAAAAAATCTAATTTTCTTTATACATCTGTGTGCATGTAAAATGAGTAAAAAATCAGTGTATTTATGAACTTTATCTTAAGATTTTTACAGTTTTATTGTGACATTTCTGAGAATCTTCTTGAAAATGAAATCTGATTCAGTGATTGGTTCAGGTTTTCTAAATACATCAGGATCAGCAAAATGTAGTAAATCACCTCTGAGACTTGATTAATTTATAAATAAGTTTCTGTACCACTATAAACATGGATACTTGTGAGCTCCTTCTTGTAAGTATAAACTTATAAAAAAAGCAAAGGTGTCCCACCTTTATGAGTTTAATGAGGAATAATGAGATATTTAATCCCACAAGAATAAAAAAATAAAAGCACTGTTATTAAGTTCCCCAAAATGTTTTGCAAGCATCTGTGAGCCTTGTTATTAAGTGAATAAAACGTGGCAACAGTTTACAGAGCAAACACGATAATTATATTTCAGCAGTGCATGAAAAGCAGGAATGAATTGGTTTAATTGCAGCTCTGTACTGTTACAGTGCTCTACTCTCATACCACAGGCACTGCGGTACTTATTATGTTAAAGAACAAGTGGCTGCAGCTCTCTGAGCAAGACGTACACAGAGCTGCAGTTTCTCCAGGCGTAGAACCACGCTCAAAACATCAGAACTAGAATCTTACCATGTTGAACACGGCCATCACCAGGATGAGAGCGGTGGTCGTCATGGTGAGGACCAATCGCAGCCAGGGGTTGTTGGTGACAATGATGCGAGAGGAAGTCGGGAGCCATGGAAGGGAGCAGACCGAGCCCTTCCCTCCCTGCTGTGGAGGCAAAGAAACAGGAAAAGTGACCAGAGGAGGAGGAAGGAGGGAAGAAGCAGTGGACAAACACAACATACATCCCTGTCGTAAAGAACATCCCACACTAAAGAATCCTTTTACTTATTTCCCCTTCTACAAATAAAAATATATGTATCCTGGAAGCTATCAAAGCCGAGCATTTATTTAAGGAATGCATAAATCCCTCTGCCTTTCAAGCCAGTCTCAAACTGAGATTATCTTATCCTGAGAAGGATTGATTTACAAGTGTTTTATTTTTATTTAACCAGTGTTGTATAAAGTACAACTATCTTTCAAAAAAATTACTTAAAAGTTAAAGTCTCTTTTGGGAATGTTACTTGGGTAAAAGTCTTAAAGTATCTGATATTTTTTGTACTTAAGTATTAAAAGTAAAAGTATTGATTTAAAATGAGCAGTTAGATTTTACATAATGACATTTATTAGGAGGTGACCTCCTAAAAAATACAGCAATGACTATATCGTATTAAAATAATTTATTTATGTTCAGTTTAGGATGAACCAGTCTAGTCTGTGATGGACTTGCAACATGTCCAGGGTGTACCCCGCCCCTCGCACTGTGACTGCTGGATATGGGCACCAGTGACCCTGAAAGGAAGAAGTGTGAACAGAAAATGGATGGATGGATGGATGGATGGATGGACAGTCTGTTTCAGTTTATATACATATATCAAGGCTGCCCAAACATTTTCTCCAAAATGAAAATCTGAGGGCTGCGACCAAATCTAATAATATAATTCATGAAAAACAAATACTTCTTAAGTACAGTCCTTTTATTTTAATGATTATGTCCTGCTGGAGTGTGACATGATTTGTTTGTGTACAAACTAATATGGTATCAGGATTTTATATATTTATACTTCTCATTCAACCACAATTATATTCACAATCTAGGAGGCACAATTTAAATGGATAGTATTTATATTTTACAATAACAAGCTGGAATGAAAACAAGCAAAATTTTAATAAAAACCTCTACTTCTTACCTTTTTAAAAAATGTAACAAGTAGAAAGTACAGATAACTGTGTGAAAATGTAAGTAGTAGAAGTAAAAAGTAGGCTGAAAAATAATTACTCCAGTAAAGTACAGATACCCAAAAATTCTACTTAAGTACAGTAAAGATGTATTTGTACTTAGTTACTGTACAACTCTGTATTTAACCACTGAGACCACAGATCTCTTCTTACAGGGAGGCCTGAAGGCAGCCTAACCTGCGAGCTTTTGGACTGTGGAAAGAAACCAGAGAAAACCCACACAAACACAAACAGAACATGCAAACTCCACAAAGGAAGACCCCAGATCTAAACTGGAGCTTGACCCTCAGGACCTTCTTACTGCGAGGCAACAGTGCTAACCGCTACGCCAGGGGGTTCTAATGTTTTTCAGTCTGGGACCCCCAAACTGATGGCGAGATGGAGCAAGACCCCCCCCCCCCCCCCCCCAAAAAAAAAAAAAAAAAAACTTGGCACAAAAAGTAAAGAATTTTGTGTTTGATAGATTATTTCTTTGGGCTTCTTTGCAACAAATCTTACACGGAGCAGAGCACTCCTATTTCTTGTTAAAGAGGAGCCGTTTATAAATGATCCCTTCATCGGTTTGAGACTTCTTTCCTCGTTTTCCAAGAAAGTGCGTTTGATCACGTTGAGCGTGTGATGAACTCTTTCACAGACGAACAGAGAACGTTTCTTTGCAATAATTCGCCTCGTTAATAACCACGTCTGTGCAGCCAAGCAGTCATGCGCAGATCAAACACCCGGAGAGTACGGCAGACGAGCTTCTTGGTTAGCCCATTAGGCGCTCTTTCAGCAGTGACCGCGGCGACTCTCGCTGGGAAGGCAGTCGGTGTTAAATTGATTTACAAACTCATCAAACCTGATCTTTTGTTCCTGCCTTCTGTTCATAATTAAGCCATGTGCAACACCGACATCTGGGTCAGGACAGAGTCAAGGTTATTGATAACCCCCCGGTAATTAAGAGTGACCCACTTACTGAGTGATAATACTCTGAAGAGGAAGGAGGAGGAAATGGGCTCTTTAGGGAGAAATCTTTTATTGATTGCCCATATTTCTCATGAGACCGGCACCTGTGTCAGCGTGGAAATATTACCCTTCACTCCAGTGGGGCTGGATAAATTAGAAGTGAAATGGAGCTGCAGTGATAATATTTTCTGTCTTTTTCCAACTATAAAAGAACTAAAATTCATTTAATCTACTCAATCATAAAACTATAATCACAGAGTACATAGTTCCTAGTAAAGTGGACATTGCAGCTCTTTAAATAAAACTTATAAAAAAGAGAATTAAGAGTAATTTGCATTTATAGTTTTCTGAAACTACATATTTTATACTCAGTCTTGTCAGCTTTACTGCTGGTCATCAAAACTATAGAGGCAGGAGATGATCTTTTTCCTTTCTGTTAACTTCTTTATGTTTGCAAAAATACTGTTCGTCATAAAATACTGTAGTTTTCATCATGGATTCAAAGTTGCAACATATTAACCATTCAAGGAGATATGTCATGCTTTGAAATTCTTCTTTTTCACATTTAAATCATTCAGTTGGGCTCGATATAAAGTGAAAATGCAATGCTTTGGTTTGAACTCCTCCTTATTGTAACTCCAAGCCCCTCTTTCACTCCTTATTTGAGGTGCACCTCAGATCAACTCGTTTTGACGCGGTCTCTTTAAATGCAAACGAGCCAGTGATCATGGTCTACGCCACCTCATTTTTCCATTTTTCTAGTTTGAGTGCAGAGCTGCGGCACAGAAACTTTTTATTTACAAGTTAATTAAACAATGTCAACAACAGAAGACTTGTTCATCCAGACTTTTATGTTGGAGCCAGCGTCTGACCCAGAACCAGAGCCTGACCTAGAACCAGAGTCTGACCCAGAACCAGAGTCTGACCCAGAACCAGAGTCTGACTAGAACCAGAGTCTGACCAGGACCAGAGTCTGACCCAGAACCAGAGTCTGACCCAGAACCAGAGTCTGACCCAGAACCAGAGGAGAATGAAGACGACGAACCTGCAGAATCGCGAATTCACGAAACTGGTAAGCTGGAAATCTATAACTTTGTTTAGTTCCACAGGAAATACCTTACTGTTTGACAAAATATAATAGAAAATACAGAAACTTAACACATTGAAAAATATGACCCAGGGGAGACTAAAATCAACTTTTCTGCACTCCTAGAGACTCCAAGTACACAACAAAATATACTTAATAGCTAGAAAAGAGGATTTTGAATTATATCTCCCTTGAGTGCGAGAATGGCTTAAACTCTAAAAGTCAGTTTTTTTTTCAGCTATTAAGCTGAAACAAGGCGTGGTAGTAGTTGAGAGTCATTCCTAACATGTACTCCAACCGATTGCACTTTTTTTAAAATTCACCATTAAACATTAGCATCAACTGTGTTTGGCATGTTTATAAATCACTGTTTTTTTAATTATAACATACACAAATATGTAAGTGGGGGGGGGGGGGGTCTTTGCCCCATCTCTCCAGCAGTTTGGGGTCCCCAGACTGAAAAACACTGAAGACCCCTGCTATGTTAAAGCCCCAAAGCACTCATAGTGTCCACATCACATACGTATACTGTATTAGGTTGTCTGACAGGGTAAGCCTCGTTTGTGTAATAAAAACTGTATTGTACTTTAATGAGGGGGAGTGGGATTTAATCCCATATTTTAAAACCAAACCATGATGAAATGCTACGGTCCATATTTAGTCAAATTTTAGCCTAGAGTTCTTTATAGCGTGATATCACTGTGTTCTTACTTTAATTTGTCTAAATTACAGACAATTTTCTTTCTGTTCAGTTTATTTTTGACATAAACTATGGGATTCTGACCATGTTAATTGGGGGATGTGTAGAAATGTGTTGTGTTAGTTGCTGAGAGTCATCTCCAATACATTTTATGTACTTATCTATCTCACATTTTTTATACTTTATTTGGCATGTAAAGTGGTGGATGATTTGCAGTCCTTTGAGCAGTTCTGTTTAACAGAAAAGTTGACCAGACAAAACCAGAAAAAGTTGAATGATGAATTCAAAGGCTTAAAATCGAATTGTGAATAATCCAAGTTTTATAAATCAATATATGGGTCAATGATCAAGATCCAGTTTGTGTTATCAGCATCTAGTTTTATTTTATTTTTTTGCAACAGTGAACGCAGGACTCACAGTGATGATGACCAATCACCCAATGAAAGGTTGTAGTTTTGTCTTGTGATAGTAGAAAACCTACGATGCGATCAGAGGGTAAATCTGAGCCTCTCAGCGGTTTCCACAGACGTAGGAGACCAAAAGTGGAGACTGGCAGGGAATGTATGAAATTGTTTATTCATGTGACGCAGCTCGGGGCTCCAGATGCAGAGTTTCTGAATGAATTTAAAGAGGGGTTCTTTTTGTGATCCATCGAGTGTATACGTATTTATCGCACATACAGTACTGAAAACCTTTGAATTTGTTCACAAACAAGTGACAAAAATACCAGGTAGTTAAAACTAATGTCTCAGTAGCACAAGGATGTATGTGCAGATTTTCTACAAGAGAGAAAAATAACTGAACATAATATTCATACAGCGTCCAGGAACAAACAGTAGCAGCAAAACTACCTCAAACTGTCATTGTGATTAACCTAACATGCACTGTTGCCAACTCCTCAGTTAAAAAGCTGCTATTTGCAGTCCTAAAAGCCACTAGAAATGGCTAAATCATGTCATCACCTAATTTGCATATTTGGAAATTTGCCAGTACTTCTGATTGAACTGACAAAGCCTCCCAGATGGGAAAGGCGTCAACTCAAAGGCAATTGCATGGGCAGGTGTGGGCAATTTCTTTGTGATGCCATTCTCAATTAGGCAGATAGAAGGCCTGGAGTTGATTTGAGGTGTGGTGCCCACCCACATAGCACACCTGGTGATTGGCAGGTAATGTTCCACAGAAGCATGACTTGATGAGCCTGAGCCACAGCACTGTGCATCTTTCTGGGTCTGAGAGACAAACAGATTTAATTTATGTAGTAGGGACAAGAGCTTTCTGCTTTGTCACTGCTGAGTTGTTATTAAGTGCCAAAGAGACGATGGGCTTTGTGGGACAAGCTTTTCTGGTCTAGCGCTCATTCATGTGTTTAGACGTCAATTCCACAACAGATCAGCTGACTGGACGTAAATTACAGAGGCATTGTTGCATCGCAAAAACAATAGCGCGCTGTGTGACCGAGCGCAGCAGCACCTCCACAAGCTGAACCAGCCCATTGGCCCACCAGGGAAATCACCAGTAGCCATGCAGCCAGTCTGCCCCTGCCTGTCAGTCAAATGCTGTCAGGTCCAGGGATTCGTGAGACAGTGTCCAGTGTCAGAGAAAAAAAAAACTTTACAGCAAAAATTACACCCCATTCTGTAAAGGCTCTGTCACACAAAAGTTTTAGACAACTTATGCCGACTTATGAAAATGTTGTTCTGACTATTTTACATACTTGATCTAATTGGTTTTGATCTAAATGTATAGGTCCAAAAAAGGCTTCCAGTAGATTTTTTTAGACATCTTTAGTGTTGGACAAACCTTTCATAAGCTGGCATAAGTTGTCTAAATCAAGATAGTGTGACAGAGCCTTTAGCCAGGTTGGGAGCAGCAGCAGCTTTGCCCATTCGTTTGGGTCTCCTCTCTGCTCTGACTGCAGCCGGGGCTTCAGTGAGTCAGACCATTTGTCAGTGCTTTGGAAAGTGGGAGGGACTCACGACACCACTCGCTGCTCACTGAGGAAAGTCACCAAAGCCTCCATAAGTCTCCAAGAACACTGTGAAAAGTTGCTAGATTTGTCACATGCTTACATGCATGGTTATGGTTGTTGATTTGATTTGATTTGATTTATTTATTTAACAGGAAAAGATTATTAAAAATCAAGCCTGACTCAGCATAATTGCTGTTTTACAGCAGGTTCCTGTTCTGCAGCACATAAAACACTCAGAATTACAGCATCACAATCACATCATTATACACCATAGACACAAAGACAAACAAGCATACCAAATTTCAAAAAAGGCAGCATTTGCAAAATCGGACGTCTAAATATGAGCACAACAAAAAGTGTCCAGCAGATGGCAGACAAGATTCTTCTTAAAGGGCTGTAGTTTTGAAATGGACTTTATGTTTTGAGGAATGTCATTCCATGCTTTAGTATAAACATAGAAGAAAGACCTCTGGCCGTAACAGTTTTTAAAAGTTGGTAATATCAGTTGTCCTTTTGTAACAGATCTAGTTGAATGACCACTTCCAGAATTTGATTTGGGCAACAATGCACAGAGAGTTCCATAATTGGCACCTTGGAAGATCTGAAAATATAAATTAATACCACTATACAAAACATAATTCTGAAAAGTCAAGGCATATGACAATGAAAGAACTGCACAGTGATGAGTCCAACCAGGAAGTTTTTTATGAATTTTGTAGGCCCTGTTGTAGAGCCTAACTATGGGTTCTAAGATTTCATTTGTTGTAAGAGACCAAACAGGTAAACAGTACGACATGGTTGAGAGTATAATGGCATGAAGATAGATACTGTATTTGAAACAGAAGATGTCAGATTGGATCTAATTTTTGATTAAACGTATAATTTCTGTTTCAACTTAGTGGTTAAGACTTGTACATAATCACAATAAGTCAAATGAGAATCCAAAGTAATTCCAAGATATTTGTAGGTAGTGACAATATCAAGGGGTTTGTTTAAAAAAGTGAGTTGATTTGTTATTTTGAAATATCTCCTGGGTGAGGAAAAATACATGCACACAGTTTTTTAACTTTAATTGACAAAAGATTATCTTGAAGCCAACCATGAAATGTCTGAAGATCTGCTTGTAACTGACTATTAATAGATTCAATATTGAAATCAGACAAAAAAGAACAGTATCATCAGCATTCATTAAAATATTTGAATACTTCAATATTTTTGGAAGGTCATTTATGTATAATAGGAAAAGCAATGGGCCCAGTATGCTACCCTGCGGAACTCCCACAGAACAGGGCAGAGACCCGGACACAGAGCTTCCATGTTTCACAACTTGACACCTATCAGTCAAATAAGAGGAAAACATTTGTATTGCAGATGATGAAAGTTGAAAAGAAATCAACTTTTGTAAGAAGAGTATAATGATCAACTGTGTCAAACGCTTTACGAAAATCAATATATACAGCACCAYTTACTTGACCTTTGTTCAAAGCAGCACGTATTTGTTCAGTGAATAAAATTAATGCAGACATGGTTGACCATGACGTGCGGAAACCATGTTGGCTATTGCTTAGCATATTATTAGCTTCTAGATGCTGAAGTAGTTGATTAAATAATGTTTTTTCAAGTAACTTAGAAAAAATAGGAAGAACAGAAATTGGCCGATAGTTTGAAACTTCTGTTGGATCACCAGATTTAAAAATGGGAGTAATCTGAGCAAACTTCCAGGCATCAGGGAAAATAGACTGCACAATACATATATTAAGCAAATGATGAAGCAATAGTAAAAAAGTGTTGGCGTGCATTTTCAAGAAATCCATYTTTATCTTATATTTGTCAAATGCATGTGAGCCATTTAGAGATTGGAGTGTATTCAAAGCATCAATCTGTGAAATTTCAGAAAATGAAAATTGCTTTGAAGTGTCAGGATATTTAAATAACTTTTAAACTATTAGCTTGTCCCGGTAATGATGTCCTTCCTGAAGAAATAAAATATTGTTGGAAGATGAAAGAACACACACAAGTCATTTTAAAACAGTCAGTAAAGTTCAAATAGAACCAGCTACCTGGCAGAGATGACAACTGACTCCTTAAAGGGATAGTTTAAACTGTTGTTAGCGTTTTTCCAAAGCACATTGCTATCATAGTAAAACAACTCAAATCTTTCAAATTTCATCATGGTTCATGTGAATGATATGACACACTCCAGCTAGCTGCTTCCACCACTGTTTGTGTTTGCAAATACCCAACAAATCCTTTATGAACAGCCATTTAAAGCGAAACTGATGGTGATGTAAAAACAGTGTTTGCATGAACGTTTCGATACTGGAGGTTAAGATGGCGGGACTCAATTTGGTCCTCACACAGCTCAAACTAGCCGTTACCTCATGGGTTCTGTCATTTGTCTGAACTGAGGTCTTCAACAGAGCTATCTATAACAGGTGCTTGCTCATAACCTTTCCACAGAACCCTAATTCAAAATGCCTGAACGATCCCTTTTAAGGGGTGTCTTGCACAGTTTCAATATGATTATGACTTCATTTTTTAAATAAATAATTAAAAAGTAATTTAGCTAAAAACTAATAATGAAAACCACCATCCCAAACAGTAATTATGTTTTACTCGTGTAATTATTCTACACCTAGACGGGGTGTTCCCAAACTTTTATGAGTCACCATGGTATGTATGTGGATTAGCCTGTGTGTGATCTAGCATTTGTTACCTTGTAAGGCCCATTTTCCCAAAATATACTACCTTGTGGGGACTCACTGCTCCTTACAGGACCCAAAGCCTAGCCCCATAAGTTCAAATGCTGTCTTTGGATGGGTGGTTAGGTTTTAGGGTAAGGGTCAGGCTATAGAAATGGATGAAAAATGAATAGAAGTCCATGGAAAGAGATATAAAAACATGATGCAGTATGTGTGTATTTGTGTGTACACGTATTTTTTTTACCTTGTGGGGACCATTTTTCCAGTACATACATCCTTCTGGGGATGCACTAATCCTTATTGGGGATAAAAGCCTGGTCCCCTTGAGTTCAAATGCTGTTGGTGGGTTGGGGGTTAGGTTTAAGACTAAGGTGTGAATTGAGTTTAGGTTTGGTGCTGAGTTAGATATGGACCGGGTGAAGGTTAGGGTAGGGTAGGGTTGAGGGTCAGGCTATAGAAATGACTGGAAAATGAATGGACGTCAATGGAAAGTTCTTATGAGGATAGAAGAACGTGGAGTTTGTGTGAGAGGGGTATTTATTGATAAATCCTCGCAAACCCACCAGAATGTGACTGGCGAAGCAGAGCAGCAGGATCAAAGCCAAAAACAGGAAAGTCAGGCCGAAGGAGATCCCCAGCACGGCAGTTCTGAAACACACACACACACACAAACACACTCCTTAGTGCTGAGCAGGGCCTCACACAGAAAATGAGATTCTGCTGTGTTCTGTTTCTGACCTGCAATCCATTTACACTTATGTAGCCCAACAATGGATTGTACAGAAGCTTCAAAATGAAAGCTGTTAATATGTCAGATGGTTTTCTCAGGATGACCACTGCACAGTGGATTTAAGGACGTCTGCCATAAAACAGATGATGTAATTTCCAAAAGTGCAGAGCAATGTAGCAATGAACAGCATGAGAGCGCGAGGGGAGAATTAGAAAATCAATGGTCTCTCAGATGCTGAATTACACCTCCGGCTCAGAGAAGCCGTAAATTAGCATGACTGCGAGTTTCTCTCCTCGCCGCTGAAGCGCCGCCACGCTTTGATTCACCTGATCTATAATCACGAGCAGACACAGTGCCCTTTCATCTCCATTGCCTTTTTAACATTCTGCCTTTTTACTCCGACGAGGTCCTGTTGATGACACAGCTGGCGTCAAATGGCTTTTTTTTTCCACATCAGCCCGCCGCCACAGCTGGAGGCGGGCTGATGCTACCGGTAAGAGCGGCGTGGAAATCGGCATGAAAACAAGGTGCAGACTTACTTGGGCAAGACGAGGACCTGCACCACGAATATGCCGCAGAATATGAGGCAGGCACAGGTGACGTAGTACTTGAAGGCAGGTAGCGTAGTGGATCTGTACTGTTGAGAGATGACAGGTGAGACGAGTCCAGAATTTAAAAGTAAGACATCAACAGTAAAACATACTGATCCAGGGCATAACTAGAAGGTCTTTATATTATATGTGAAACATAAAAGTGTAAAAACGACAATAAGAATACAAAGTTACAGTATGAAACAGAAAGTTGAGCATCTTCTCGCTAACTCCTCAGCTCTGATTCATCACACTGATTTATTTCCTGATGGCAGTTTTGTATGCATTCGCCTACCTCTTTCTCCAGAGCTTTGTTGTGAAAGAACAATGAGATCCTCTGGATGTCCTCGGATTTCATCCACTGTCTGGAGACACAACAGAAGCAGACAGTGAAGAAGACCGGAAGTCATTTCTCTTATTACAGGCTGTGGTGGCGTAGGTGGTGCTGCCTTCGCCTTGTGCTTTTGTTCTGTTTTTTTCCTTGGGAGAAACTGTCATAAAGGTCGTTTTGAGCACTTAGACAAGAATTTTTCTCCTGTTAAACCTTACAGCACTGAAACTTGGAGCCATGAAATACTGTAATGTGTTTCTAATTGAATGATTGAGTGTGAAATAACTAAAGCAATACATCAATTGCAGATCAGTTGCACCATTTTAAACTGTCTGATTTGTTTTGATCCATCCAGCTGCATAAAACAACTCTGACTCTCTTCAGCAGGATGTTGGCAGGAGATCCTTTGGTTTGTTTTTGAGGATGGTGAGCTAAATGTCACAGGAAGCATTTTTGGCCATGGTTACTTTTGGACTGTGATGGGACTCATTATCCTGATGATGGAAGCCATGGAAGGTGGGGCTGAACAAACAAGGTTTCCCAACTGAAGGTTCCGTGTGAGCATAGTTCAATGACTCTTTACTTTGTGCACCAACCAACCAAATAATAATCCACAAATCAAATATGAAACTTTTATCTGTAGTTCTTGAAATACATTAAATTTAATGATGTGCAAAACTTTTTATAAAGTTATGGTATAAATGAATGGACTGTTACCACCCTACTACAACACTGAAATTAATCAGCCAGAACATGGATGGACTTTGAAGACAAAGTCTTAAGGTGGGCACTGGGAATACAGTACAAGAAAGTGACAACATACTCTACTACAGTGTGGACAGGAGCCTGCATTGACTCTGGATGAGGTCAGATTGGTTGCTTTTCTGGCGTTCCATGATGAAGATCGCCTTATTTGTGTCGTGCTGCCAGATCTTTTGGTCTTTTGCCACAGTTTCCCATGTGACAAAAGGAAATGTTGAATAATGACAGATGCTGCTTGACAGTATCTAAGCTTTGGACGACCTCACTCCTCTTTTGCCATGCTGAATTTCTCTAGAAGACAGCTTTTGGCAGTCTGGCATCATTCATTCGAATGACCTGGCTGGTCCACCTAAGCTGACTCTGAGTAGGTAGAGCTTCTACACACTTTTTGACTTCATAGTTGGAAACATTATCTTTCCTGTAGATGTTGAGGATCTGGCAAAGGTGGTACATCTGTACTTGATGTAAAAGGTAACTGTGCCAATGGTACAAGTGTGTATAGAGATATCACAACTGCCAACTTGCTTAGCAAAGAGGTAATATATTAGAGAATCAGAATTTGAACAGAACACACTGGCCTCATGTCTAGACTTCAACCACGACTGAGACAAGGCCAGGGAAACTACTGGGATACCCACGGTAGTGAGATCATGAGAGAGCATTTTTACAGTTTTCCAAACTTTCACAGCAGGATGGTAATCTTGAGACACTTTCACAAGGTATTTCAAGTGACGACAAAGTCCACCCAACCCTGATGCTCCTTTGTGCTACAGAGCGAGGCAGTAACAGAGCCAAAACGGTCAATGTGCAGAAAGAGAAGACGGGTTTGTGGTTCAGTAATGACACGTGGTCTATGCGAATCAGAGGGAAGATCAATGATGAGGCACAGCAACAACTTTGCATTTAGATGATGTGATGAACGTAAAGATGGATTGGTCTGTGGGACCATTTCACTAAACTGTTTTATTACACTTGTTAAATAAAATCTCAGCATTTATGTCGCAGAATCTCAGGGATGCTCAAACTAATTTGGCCACTAAGCCATAATCTCAACCATTTGTAAAATATGTATTTTCATCAGCAAACAGAAAGGCACACATTAAAGTTTCTATCTCATGTATTTTGTATTCAAAAGTATGTTAGGTAAAATCTGCAGTGCATTTTGAACTTGTGCTGGTTCTGAATGTGAACACATGCATGAAAGTCATCGACTGTCTTTGAAAAAGCACGCTCTACTGCAACAAGTCTTGGGCTTAAATTTTGATATCTTGTTCCCTTTTTCCTTCTTTGTATATAAATAGTAATGAAATTATTCTAAGTTTTGACTGCAACCTTCACATTTTTACATGAATAATCAAAGAGCCAGCATACCACATTTATCTATGTCACTTCTGCCCTGATTCCACACTATAAACCCCACTTGGATAAATTTGTGTTTGGCAAAATGAGAAGTTGCTTTATGATTGGTAATCCCAAAAGGAACTGCTTCAATACTTGTATTTCTTTTTACCACCAGCCTTTGTCAGAGATAAATGTCAGCGAGAAGCAGAATTGGGTTGTGTGGTGAACGAGGTTCTTACTTCTGTGAGTTGATGCCATCGATGGTGCGAATCATCCGTTCGTTGAGCTCCTCTTCGAACCTTTTCCTTTGAGACTTGGATCTTGGGGAAAAGAGGGCACATATTTAAACTCTGACAAAAACTAAAAATGTACTGGTGCATGATATGAATCTCGCTAAAACAAATCGTTCACCTCTCTCGTCTCTGGAGGTAATACTGCCCCATTGGGACGTCCTGAAAAAAATAAGGCCTTCAACAAATCTGAATGGATACTGTTTAACTTGTAATGCTAATTTTTTTTGTTCAAATAGAAGACAACGAAAATGAGAGAAAACGAGAGACAGAGGTCACTTACTGTAGTGTTGATCTTGCCATTGTCTGTGGTCATGCTGTCTCGATGGTGGAGATTGGCGAAGGGTTTAGCAGCTCCCCAGGACTCCAGGTACCGTGTCATCCTGACTGACGCCCTCATCTTCCCAGCGTCCAGAGAGGGTCGAGAGCGCACGCTTAGCAGTGGGCTGTGCCTTTCAGTCTAACAGGAACAGAAGAAAACACTTCATTCAGATTTTGTGAAGAGTTTAAATGAGCTTCATCATCTTCCAGACATCCTGTTTGCTTGTGTTTCTGATGTCTTAGTGTCAGAGACCACGCAACAATTTTTGGATCAGCTCCGAAGCATCAAAATATTTGGTGTTTTAAATGTTATAGTTCATCAAAGTATAAAATATACCATAGTTTTCCAAGTGCATGGAAAATAAACTCAGAAACAAGCTCTACATTCATACTGTAGATTTTTATTCGTGCCACTTTTATGTCACTAAAGAAGGGGTGCATGGATCAATCTGAACAATGATATTACTGATACCAACATCATACAATTTCAAATTTGTAACTTCAAATGAATTAAGATACAGAACAGAACTCCAGTTGCTTCATACTGTTTTCTAATTTGCGTTTAATATGGTTGAAAATCTACACCAACAGAAACTAACCTTGGTGTTGAATCTTTTCAATATTAGCACAGTGGAATCAATACTTGAGTTTGTTTTGCTTCCTTTCCTGAAGTGCAATTCTGCACCCAGATAGTTTGGAAGTGACAAAATCAAAATGTAAACACTGAACGAAACGAGCACAGCAGATAATTTATTTGGCTCTGTATGTAGCATCCATATTTACTTAGTAAACTCTGTGTGACGTCATGTTTTCTGCACATGCGGGTCTCCTTAGGGGTGTGGACTGTTCTGGATTTCTGATGCTAATTGCACTTATTTAAAATATGGAGGACCCCACAAAAACAAACAAAAATAATCAGAGAAAAAAATTTGAATTGAATATTATGACCTGTATTGTGAATAAGAAGACCTCCCTTCACATCGGAGGACGACTCCAATACATTCTCCATATACATTTAGAACTTGACTGGGTCACTGCAAAATCGGAAAACCCAGACGACACTACTAACTTTCACATGCAGGTATTTTGACTTAGCTTCAAGACTTTGTGAGGAACAGATAGTCCGCTGCTATGAAAAGCAAGCAATAATGTAGTTTCTTGTGTGCATGCGGTTCAATCAGTGGATGCATTTTAATGAAACTCTCAGATGGTAATCACTGGGTGTACATCAACTGCTGATTCCTTTTTGGAGTAAATGCAATTCAAGATGGCCACCACAGGAAATCCACCTTATGGAACACAAAAACAAGAACAACTCAGCCAAATTTACAGACATCAAACTCACATTTGGTGTGTAGCTGAGAGTCGATTCCAACACAAACTATAAGCACTAACAGATTGAGCAAGATTTTTATTTTGGCCACAGGCTATATGCACCAAATCCATGAATGCTAGTTTCATTAATTATCTACCCATAAATAAAACCTTAAGATGATTTTAAGAGTACATGATTAAACATGATAATAAAAAGTCTTATATAAGCAAATGTATAATCTTAAAACGCTGTTCATTAAATACAGTATATATAAAGGACTTGTGGTAAGTGTTGCAGTGTGAATTAGACACATATTCAGTGACTCAGTGGGTGTGAAGTGAGAAGAAACGGCTGTTTCAGGAACTCTGGTCAATGACATCTTTGACTCGTTTGTTAGTGTTTTTAACTACTTCAAAGCCTTTCAGTTATGAATGACGCAGCTCCCCTTTTGTTTACACATGAGTGTTTCTGAGTGGCGAACAGAACTCCACTTGGGTGAAATGCTGAAAATTCAAGAGGGTGATAAACAGCAGATGATTTATTTTAATTGCTCGTGGAGGCTGTGTGTGGGGATTGTCACTGACTGAACAGGGGCCCAGATGCCTTCAGGGAACTGAAACAGACATGGCGGCTCGGGTTATTTCCAGCTCTGACACTGACAGTTAATGACAGCAACAGTGGAGACGACACCTCCTCTGATCCATGCGCCATATTTGGCTCAGATTCATTCACAGTTTCCTGCAAATTAAGACTGAACACCTGCATCTTTTTCTCGACTTGATCAAATATTAACATGCTGTTCCTGTACACATTTTGAAAATTACATTGGCGAATATTATCACATTCTGCAGAAAGACTCAGAGCACAAAATAATGTTGAAGAAAATGGAAGTTAATATGCTACAGCTAAAATATTCAGATACCAAGGTTAGGCCTAAAAATATATCTTGTTTAGCTGCAACAAATGAGAATAACTGAGGTCTCTGTACGCTTTAATAATGAAAAATTGACTAGAAGAAAATCAAAACATCATAGCACAGAATGGTGGAATAAATCATGAAAAACAAAAACAACTTTAAACACTGAGGCTCAGGTTCATCCACTTCTACACTTTGTGACTGATTAACTTAATTTTAGATAGTCTTATACTTTGTGATTGGTTTTAGTCGTTTACTTTAAACAGTAAGAGAATCAAAAAGTCTCTTTTGAACATGTTCCTCGCTCCAGCAGTGTTTGCATTCCAATGCTGATGTAAGGGACCACCCCAGGGGGTATGGCCAGGGTTTTCCATAAGTATTGTGAGAGCATGTGATTTGGGGCCATTTTGTTTAGACTCTGATGCCACACCTGCCTGGACTAAGATGGAGTATTTAAATTTGAAAATAAACATTTTACTGAGAACTTAATCGAGCCCTGTGCATTACTCGGGCTTCCAATTTGAACATTTTCTTACAAGCTGCTAAATTTGGGCTTACATCATTGCAAAGGGAGATTCATGTCTCGAACTTCACTGTCAATTAAACAGCGTAATGGAGGACATATGTGAATTATTACCAGGGTTCAAAGCAACTGATTCTCAAAGATCAGCGCTGTTTGCGACACATTTTGTGTGAAATATATGGTTGGATAGAGCTGGTAGCAGCTGTGAGGAACAGGATCAACAGGCTGCGGTGCTGCTTTCACATAAAAAAGGCAGGTACTTGGGGATGGGTTTATCCTACATACGCAAGACAAACCCATCCCCAAGTACCATCTTTGCACTACATACCACTTTAGTGCCTCCATTTTTCACCCTGGTGCTCACCACGTAAAAATATTTTTCTCTGCCACTTTTGTGCCTGCTATGTTTGTGAAGTGTAATCATATTTAGATTGTGCAGCGTAGGTTTTGATCTGATGCAAAATAAAAGTCAAATCACTCACACCTGCTGTGCAGGATGGACATGTCTGCTGCTGGCACAAAACTAAAGCTATTTGCTTTAGCGCTGAGAATATGCTAATTGTGGGTGCTGACAATGTGCAACAAACAATTTCAGTGTATGCAGGCCAGGCCTGAATCTTTATGTTTTTAAAGGATCAGGGACTAAATCAGCAAAAGCTTGGTTGACATTTATAAAACTGAATTAACGACACAATAATGTGATTATAAAGTAACACATTTTACTCAGTCATAATCAAGATCAGTAAGCCTTTGATTTTTCGGTTGCCAAGCCAAACCATATGAGCACATTCTGGATGTCAGGAGCATTATTCCGAACAGAGATGTTCCCAGCAGACAGTTCACAGAAGAGTCAGACCCCTTAAATGTCCTTAATCAGACCCTAATGTCCTGGTTTTTTATTTTTTTGTCAGGAGGAGCAGAACAGCGTCACAATCCCCTCACAATGCCTGAAGAAGAGAAAGCGCCTGTAAACATAATCCTGTCTGTGTAGAGAGACTGACCGAGCACCTGCTAAAGTCTGATAACATTTATCATTGCCACACTACATTGTTTGCCAGTACTTAACATTGTCACTATTTATTAGCAGCTCTATGTGCCCGTGGCAGAATGAACTGGAGATTATGTGTGTGTGTGTGTGTGTGTGTGTGTGTGTGTGTGTGTGTGTGTG